TACATTTTTTCTTGTAATTAAATCTTGAATCATTAAGAAATGGTTTAGGGTATTTTACACTTGATGTTTTTTTAAAAAGTAGATAGTAGATGGTGTGTGTGTGTGTATCTTATTTTTACAATCATGATACAGAAAAGCATTTTTTACAGAAGGTGGTATCTTGTCAACAGCCGTACTACCTTGAATGTGCCCAATATGATTTGATAGAAAGTGGTATTTAAAAATTTTTATAAATCGTCTCTTCACTCAATTTCTTTGTGCATGCTTTCTGAACTTGATGTTTGTGAAGGAAATTGTGGTTTTAAGTGATCAGGGTTTTCTATTTCTTACACACTAGTGCTGACGGTATTTGAAATTTACTAGTGAGAAATAGGAAGCACAATTCATGTAATTTTGCTATTTTCTTCATTTTGAACTTTATTAATAGAGAAAATATAGTTATTATATTGTTTGCTACGTCATGAACTACCCCAAAATGTAGTGATTTAAAACAACATAGGGTTATCAGCTTTTCTTAGTCAATAATATAGGAATAATTAACTGGGTTCTGTGCTTCACAGTCTTTCAGACCTCGCAGTCATCTCTGAATATTTGATTAAAGAACTGTGCTTGTAGCTTACTCACTTGTTTATTAAAAGGAGTCAGTTTTTTTCCTAGCATGTTGGGATGAGAGGGTTTCAGTTCCTCACTGTCTGTGGACCTCTCCAGCATGACAGCTTACTTCATTAAAGCATGCAAACTGAGGTGGCAATAATAGAAAGAGTGTCATCAAAATAGAAGTCACTGCTTTTTATAATCTAGTTATGGAATCGATGTACTATCAGTTTTTTTATTTCTAACAAATGAAATATTTATATTTCATTTGTTAGAAATAAGTCACAACATTCTGCCTACACTCAAAAGAAAGGGCATGAATATCAGTGATTATACAAAGGAGAATATACCAGGAGACAGAGATCATTGAGAGCCAAGTTAGAAGTAGCCTATCACAAATTGATGAAGGAATACATTAAGAATGAGCTTATTTATAGACAATCTTTGTTCAGTTTTGTGGCGGTTTGGGGGTGAAAAAAGAGAAACTGCAGAGCCCATACATAATAGTTTTGTGGGAATTTTCAGTATTGGTAAATTCTTCTTAATATTATGTTTAACAGGATTAACTGCCTTTTTGTTTCCTTGCCTTAATTCCCCAAGGAAGATTTCAGGTTTCCATGTCCTAGTACTCCACTTACACATTTCGGAGTGTATATTATGAACTAGAAAAACTAAATCATCTTTCCCCATTCCCTCCTTCCTTCTCATTGTTTGAGAATGCTGGATATTATAGGTTGTAATATGGTTTTACTCTTTGTATCACATGTATATGCTTTAGTAACAATTTACAAATTAGTAACAATTTACAAATATATCTAGTAATTGTTACTAGATATATTTAATCTGTTTTGAGTTTCTCAGCAGTGAAATTAGGAGAGAAGTTTAGAATCTAATCCACTAATTCTCGAAGTATGGTCCCAGGTCAGCAACATGATTATCTCCTGGGAAATTTGTGGGGATTCAAATTTTCTGGTACCACTCTAGACCTACTGAATCAGAAATTTTAGGAAAAGAGCTCATCAGTGTTTCCAGGTGATTCTGATATAGGTTGTGATTTCAGTACAACTAATTATTCCTTTCATTAGAGTTTGAATTACTTTTCCAAGAAGCTTTGGTCAGTATTACAAACCTTATTTTTATTACTGTTAAATAAGGATTCTCAGGAAAATAAATATTTTTTTCATACTTGTTTTACAGATAAAGGATATAGAAAAGAAATTCAATAAGTTTTTTAAGTTTATTGGCTAGCATAGGCAGTTTGTGTGTTGGCCAGGAATGTGGAGGTGTTGAATGGAGAAAGCAGGGATTTCTTTTTTTAATTTATATATGACAGTGGAATGCATTATAATTCTTATTAAACATACAGAGCACAAATTTTTCATATCTCTGGTTGTATATAAAGTATATTCACACCAATTCGTGTCCTCATACATGTACTTTTGATAATAATGATCATTACATTTCCATCATCATTTCTAACCCCATGCCCCCTCACTTCCCCTCCAACCCCTCTGCCCTAACTGGAGTTCGTCTATTCCTCCCATGCTCCCTCTCTGTATTCCAGCCTCCTTATATCAAATGAAATCAGCCTCTTTATATCAAAGAAAACATTAGGTATTTGGATTTGGGGGATTGGCTAACTTCACTTAGCATTATCTTCTCTATTCTGTAACTCCATCCATTTACCTGCAAATGCCATGATTTTATTCTGTTTTATTGCCGAGTTAATATTCCATTGTGTATATATGCCACATTTTTTAAATCCCTTCATCTATTGAAGGGCATCTAGGTTGGTTCCACAGTTTAGCTATTGTGAATTGTGCTGCTGTAAACATTGATATGGCTGTGTCCCTGTAGTATGCTGTTTTTAAGTCCTTTGGGTGTAGACCGAAGAGGGGCATAGCTAGGTCAAATGGTCGTTCCATTCCCAATTTTCCAAGAAATCTCCATACTCCTTTCCATATTGGCTGCAACAATTTGCAGTCCCACCAGCAGTGTATGAGTGTACCTTTTCCCCCATATCCTTGCCAACATTTATTGTTGTTTGTCTTCATAATAGCTGCCTTTCTGACTGGAGTGAGATGAAATCTTACAGTAGTTTTGATTTGCATTTCTCTAATTGAAAGCAGGGATTTTTGAGATGGATGTTTGAGATGAATTTCCTCTCCCTTACATTATTTATCTTGTGGTTAACAAAAATCAAATACTAAATAGTGATTTTTAAATGAAAATGTTATTTGCACAATATTGTATCAGATAATAAACTTAGTTGTAGTTTGAAAATGTACTTGATGGTTGTTAAGGAATTAGTTGTATAATATTTCAACTTTAATCCTGTTTCAATGAACATTTACCAATAAACATTGAAATAAAATTTCAGGCGAAATAGAGGTCTCACAGATAGAACTTTCTAGAGTTCATGCCAACTTTTTGATGTATATAGGTATTTTTTAAATCTATATAAAACATGATTTTTCTTTGTACTTAGTTCCAGTTGACTTTTTAAAAAAAAAAATCTGTCCTATGATACTACTAAGATGAAACTTAACAGCAAACTGTAATTTTAACTTCCTTAATTGTATATTTAATTAGGTTATATGTCTTTCATCTTTGTTTTATGGGCATTTCACAAAACTTGGATGCTTTTCAATCTTGAAGGGGCTAACTAGTGATTTCTTGATTTTTCTGCACAAATTCACATTTTAGTAAACTGTAGTAAACACTAACTGAAGTGATACGTGTTGCTCGCTTATTAAGTAAAGTTATTAGGTTCATAGTACGACAGAGATGGTTGAGTTTTGTATAGTCTTTTATTTTACTTACCAAAGAAAGTAAATTTAAGTGGGGAAACTAGGATAAAAAAGTGAAGTACAGTAGTGTTCTAAAAAATCTGTACTGTTCTAAAGAGAATTATGTAATAGTATATATTAAGAGCATTTGATGCTTTGTCTTCCTTAATTTTTCATTTAGTTTGGAATCTGGTACTCTGTTAGCTTGTCATTGGCTGCTGGATTCTTTTAGTTCTGTGATTTGGGAGCAGCAAGGTAACCTCATGATGGATGAGAATTGTCATTAACTGTGGGTTAGTTTGGTAGATTGTGGAAGCCTAATGATTTTTGAAACATGGGTGTCTTACCTGCCATTTTTAGTCTTGTTGATTTTGTAAGCTTAGCATATCCTTTGATTGCATAGATGGTTGGATCAGGTTGAATCAGGTCTGTATTTTAAGGCCATTTGCTTTTTTCATATAAACCTCTTATTCTGATAAAACAAGGGTATCACAACATTATAAACTAAACTATTAGTAGGTATCCATTTTCAATAAAACATCTGAAAGTGATTCTGTTTTCATTTTTTTGCATGCATTTATTTAATGAATTTGATTTCCCCCCATCTTTTGGACTAATTTTGATGTAGTTTTTAAGATTTAGTAAACCACTCTAATTGTGTTGAATTTATCTGTGGTATAAAGCTTTTTCATGAGAAAGTTGTTTTAAATTTTTTCCTATATTTCTACTTAGAAATCAGTTACAATTTGCATGCCACATAAATTGCCTTTCTTGTATCTCTTAAATTTAAAATGCAGAATTTAATTTTAGTTCTTAGTAAATCAATTTTACATTAGGATTTAAGGGCACATTTGGCCAATATAATCTGAGAATGTTTACATATAATTTATTAAAAGTTTATAATGTGTGCAAATAATGAGTTAGAATCACTATATTTGATGACACTGTTAGAAGTAAATCATCCACATTTATTTTAATGTGCCCATATATACATATATATGCATATATACATGTACATATATATTAATTTGCTATATTCCTTTTTATATTCCTACAAAACAAGGAAAATATTAAATATTGCCCCACTCCTGCCAATAGTAATAAAACATTTCATAGTAAAACGATGTCTCATCAACTTTATATTCCATTCATTTGAATGGCCCACATTGAGCTTTACAACAGTAAATAATATTCATAATCATCAGAGTTGTCTTGCACTACCTATACTATTAAAGAAGCTCACTGATCAGTTTTTCTAATAAAATATTAAGGTGCTAAGATCAGCCATTGATTATCGAATTTAGTTAGAATCAATATTTTGGAGTTTGATATTTGCGTATGCACAAGGGTGCTTTTAAACTTATTCTTAATTTCATTTGTGATTACAGCTAGTGGGGTAAATTTTGTTATCAAGTTGGTAGAATGGGTTTTCATCAGGGAAGTTGGATGTTATACTGAATTGTTGGTCTGCAAGAAAACAGAATTCTTCTCTTGAGTGACTAAGCCAGGATAATCAGGCAAGGGGTTTTATTTCAAAGTTTGTTTTGGTGATGGCATAAATACATAACAGGTTCTGAAATCCAGTTACTATATTAAATTTCATCACTTGTTTTTTAGGTATTCCAATAACTGTACCACCTCCAGGTAAAACTTTTTTCATGTTTTCTCCATCATTGTTAATGAACATGAAATTTCAAGCTTATAGGAGGGACAGTGTTGATGCAGTTAGAATATGAATAGGCTATTGGGATTTCAAGGTCCTATTTTCAGCTCTGCCTTTGCTTCATTCCCGTTTTAAGATACTTAGTTTTCTTATACCTACCTGTCTTACCCATTTCTGTAGAAATAGAGATTCTGAGAAAATTCTCTCTTTATCAATTGGTGAAGAAAACAGTATGGGATATAAAAAAATTTATTAAAAGTCTTTTTAGATTAATGACATTTTTATATAATGAAGTGACTTTAAGAGAAGAGAAAAATGATTTATCTTGACTTTATCACGGTTTCTGATTTCTCTACCCTTGTGGCATAACTCGGTATCATGAGAAAATATGTTGTGAGTCACACAACAATTAGAAGGATTATTAACTGGTCAGGTGGATGTTCTTAGACTGGTGATTTGTTGTTCATTGTTAGAGTGGTATGGTCAGTAGGAATTTATATGTAGCCCAGTTTTGTTTTGTTTTTTTGGTCAGTTATTTCTTTTTATTTTGTGAGAGCAAACCCTATTAGTAATCATGTTTAGTAAGTTCAGTATTTTAAAAGCCAAAGGATATAAAGAAAATGACAGGTGATATTGCTTGGGTCTAAATTCAGAATGGCCTAAATAAACGGAAGTAGTGAAGTTTAGATTGCAAAGGATAGTGTAAATATCTGCATATGTGATAGTCACTGATTGTGTATGAATGTGGCTAAAAAAGACTTATCAGAAATCAAAGTAATTGGTGTGTCTTAAAAGGCAATGTGATTGTGAGGCTGTGTAACATAGGATTGTGGACTCTAGGACTAATGTGGCAATGGCTTAACTTTTGGTTATATTGATATGTTTTATAGAGAAGTTACAGACCCTAAAATTGTACACAGTGGAAAGCATGATAAACTTGGAAGTAGTTTAAAGCAGAACAAAAAAGATTTAAATGGAGTTTTGAGAAGGGATAAGATAATAGGGATTCAATTTTACATAGACTATTAAAAAGGAGGCTTAATGGAAGAGTTTTCAAATATGTAGAAGATAATAGATAATATGACAGTAGAATACTTGTCCTCATCAGGACAGCAGATGAATTGTGTGAGGAATTTCAATTATATAATCTAATGCATTTCCTAATAGTGAGAGTTGTTAAAACTTGGAAGGAATTGGTATTGTAAGTTGTGGAATCTTAAAGTCTTTGTTGTGATGCTATATTGCCTATCTGAATTTGAAAGTGTAGAGTAGATTAACTGTTAAAATCCCTTTTAGCCATATTATTCGTGGTATTTCACTTAAGTATTATGAATTATTGAGAATGCAGACCTCATGATATAAAGGTGCAAATTATTTTCCTCCAAACAAATCAAAAAACTCCATTATGTGCCTTTCTTTGTTAAGTAATTTGTTGGGGTTGTGCTATTTAAAACATATTTAATGGCGGATGTTCTCAGCTTTGAGTAGTTATATATTTACTGGTAAGATTTGATTTAAAGTTACACATTTTTAAAGGAAATTTTTATACATGTAGAACTCAAGCTATTTTTTAAAAGAGGTAAATGCTATTTTATTTTATTTTCTTCTAAAATATTTCAAGTATAATATATCTGATGGCAACACTGCTACTGTTGTTTATATGGAAAAGGTAAGGCATTGAGACTAACTCTCATACTCACAAAATGGGCTGTGTGTGGTGCTGAAAATAAGACCGGGTGTCCTGACTCCCAGTTTGTGTTCTGTGTTAGGCCAGACTGTATTTGGAAATTTTTATTGCTCCAGAAATCTGTTTATAAGTTTAAGCTCCATTTTTTTCCTATCCATTTTAACATAGAAAAGCACGTTTATGTCCCCAGAGAAATTTAGTGGTACTCAGCAACTTTGTTTGGCTCTTTACATTAAACATATATTTTGTTAATTTATTTTTTATTTTTTTTGTCTTATGATTGAATGTTTCAGGTTTTCCTCCTCCACCAGGTGCTCCTCCTCCATCTCTTATACCAACAATAGAAAGGTAAATCATTATAAATACTGTAAATTTTTTATCATTGTGATTGCCTTTTGACAGAGAATCACGTACATGTCTTGGTAATATTTTCAAAGATAATTTTATAAACACAGCACCTGCCTTTTAATTTATAAGATGTTAGACCTACAGCCTATTATCAAAATAGGGCAAAGGAAATGAAATCACAATATTTTGAAATAATATCTTTGGTTTCTGGTACATTGGTGAAAGAAACTGCTAGATGGTTAAAAACTTTTGAGTATCATCAGTTTTATGGGAAATAGTTTACTGGAAATAATGAATAATGCCTATCTCTTAAACAGTTTATATCACCTGGAATGCTGTACTGAAGAATATTCTGAGTAATATTGAGTCAATATTGTGTCTAACAGTAGAGGGTTTAACAGTGTATTTAATAACATTGAAATCACAGTGTTGCCAGGGAAATTTCATAACCTTTTTGAGACTTAGTTTCCCTTTTTACTATACGGATTGATAAAGTTGTGAAGATTGAAGCTCCAGCACAATTCTTAGCAGATAGAAATCATTCAGAAATAAACACCTAGCATGCACAAGTCCCTGGGATCAGTACTCAGTACTGCAAAACAAAAAATAGGTGTTAGGCTTTTTGAGGTTAAGAGACTGTGTTAAGTATTTATAAATAAAATTATAGCATTAACATATGTCAGAGTTGAAGAAAAGTTTTGCCAGGCACAGGGCTGCATGCCTGTAGTCTGAGGTATTCAGGAGGCTGAAGCAGAGGATTTCTTGAGCCCAGGAGGTGGAGGCCATTTTAGGCAACTTAGTGTGAACCTGTCTCAAAAATAAGTTATAATTTTACCTTGCTGTTTTTCCATTTGTACCAAACTATTGAAACTAATTTGCAACAGATGTAAAAATACATTTTTTTCCCTCAACAGTGGACATTCCTCTGGTTATGATAGCCGTTCTGCACGTGCATTTCCATATGGCAATGGTAAGTTGTTAGTCACCTAGATTCAGATTCATAATTAGTTGCCCAGATTTAATTTGAATCAATAAAGTACATAACTATTTTAAAGCAATAAAAATGTGTTTCTGTGATTTAAAATAACATCTTAAAGAGAAGTGAAAACAATTATCTGAAGAAATAACTAGGTTAAGTATCTGCCAGGTTAAAACAAAATAATTTTTATTTATTTGTTGATCTAAACTTTGTTTATTTGTTGATTAAATATTGATTAAACTTTTAAAGATTAGTAAACAGTAGCATAAGAGATATTTGTACCTTTTCCTAAAAGGACTTAGGATTTGTCACAAATTTGTCTCGTATCCTTGTCTGAGTCATAGTACCCATCTAATATTCTTATTTTTCCCCTCGCTACTTTTTCTTGTAAATTATCTGTAGGTCTTCTTTTGTGTTCATGTGTAATGACTTTATTCAAGGTTTTTTGATACCGCTTTTATTCATTTATTTTTAAAATGCTGTGCATTGTACCTAATTTTAAGGCTACAGTGAGACGTGGTAGTCACTCTCATCAATAGACTAGAAAGGGGATGGCTTATTAAAAGTGTCATGGGAGTTTGGTGGAAGGGGTCTTGTACTCCAGAGGGGTGGAGTAGTAGATGATTTGACTTCCATGTAGTTCAAATATAGGGCATGTGAGAACATGATAGACTTCATGTAGGGGAGTATAAGCATGTCTGAGAGATGTCTTATTACAATCATTCAGAATCAAATGTGTAAACAAATGTTGCAATAAAATAAGTCACAAAAGTTTTCAGGTTCCTAGAGCATGTAAAAGCAATGTTTACACTATAGTAACAGTCTATAGTACACTATAGTAACAGTGTTCAGTAGTATTATGTTTAAAAGAACCTTGATTTAAAAATACTTTATTGCTTTTGAAAAAGAAAGAAAAAAAATCACCTGAGCCAAATCTTAACATCTTTGCTGGTGCAGGGTCTTGCCTGAATGATGATGACTGCTATTGGTAGTTGCTGAAGGTTGGGTGGCCGTGGCGATTTCTTAAAATAAGACAACAATAATTAATTTAGTCTTCCTTTCAGGAAGAATTCTTTGTAGCTTATGATGTTATTTGATAGCACTTGATCCACTGTAGAACTTCTTTAGAAATTGGAATCAGCCCTCACAAACCCTGCTGCTGCCTTCTCAATTAAATTCATGTACTATTCTAGATCTTTTGTTATTTCAACATTTTTCAAGCATCTTCACCAAGAGTAAATGCCATCTTAATGAGGAGCATTTCTCATGCATTAAAAATTTATGATGAGATTGCAGTAATTTCATCACATCTTCATTTTTTGTTTCTAATTCTAATTATCTTGCCATATTCATACCTGCAGTTACTTTGTCCACTGAATCCTAACCCCTCACAGTCATCCATGGAGATTGGAATCAGCTGCTTTCTAATTGTCATTAATGTTAATATTAACCAGTAAATCACAACTATTCTTAATGGCAGCTAGAATGGTGAATCCTTCCCAGAATTTCAGTTTATTTTGCCCAGATCTATCAAAGGAATCACTATGGCAGTTACAGCCTTAGGAAACGTATTTCTTAAAGAAGCTTGAAAGTCAGAATTACCCCCTTAATCCAAAGACTACAGAATGGAAGTTTTGTTAGAATGTAGGTAAGCAACATGAATTTCATTGTACATCACCCTCAGAACTCTTGATATTTTGGAAGATATATTTTGTTTTATAAGGAATAGGTCTTCGTGTGCTTAAAATAATCAATAAGCCATGTTTTGTTGCAATGCAGGCTTTGTTGTTTCATTTACAGAGCACAGGCAAAGTAGACTTAGTGCAATTCTTGGGCCCTAAGATTTCTGGAATAGTAAATAAGCATTGACTTCTACTACTGCATTAGCCCTAATAAAAAAGCCCACCCATCCTTTGAAGCTTTGAGGCCAAGCATTGATTTGTTCTCTGCAACTATGAAAATCACAGGTGAATCTTCTTCCATTAGTAGGCTGTGTTTAGTTTACATTAAAAATCTGTTGTTGAGTGTAGCCACCTTCATCACTGTCTTAACTAGATGTTCTGGATAACTTGCGACAACTTTTGCATCAGCACTTGCCACACCACCTTGTACTTTCATGTTATGAAGATGGCTTTTTTCCTTTTTTTTTTTCATTAAATTTCATGAACCAGACTTTGCTAGCTTCAAGCTTTTCTTCTGCATCTTTTTCACTTCTTTCAGCCTCCATGAAGAGTTAAGTCCTAGCTCTAGGTTAGGCTTTGCTTAAGGGAATATTACAGATGATTTGATATTCTATCCAGACCACTAAAACTTGCTCCATGTCAGCAATAAGACTAAAACTTTTCTCATTATTTGTGTTTACTAGAGTAGCACTTTAAGTTTCCTTCAAGAACTTTATCTTTGCATTCATAATTTTGCTGTCTGGTGCAAGAGGTCTATTTTCTGACCTAAACTTTTGATGTGCCTTCCTTCACCAAGTTTAATTATTTCTAGCTTTTACTTGAACACTTAGAGGCCAATTTAGTGTTATTAACTGTTATTAACTGGCCCAATTTCAATATTTTGTCCTGGGGGAGAGGGAGGCCTGTAGGAGAAATGAGCAAGATAGAATAGGCTGGTCAGTTTAGCAGACCGAACACACATGTTTGTTGATTAATATTGCTTTATTGACCGAGTTTCATGCCTCAGAACAATTATAGACAATTATAGTAGTAACAAAAGATTATTGATCACAGATCCCCATCATAGAAATAATAATATTGAAAAGTTTGAAATATTTTGAGACTTACCAAAATGTGACATGGAGACATCAAGTGAGCTCATGGTGTTGGGGAAATGGTATCAATAGATTTGCGTGATGGAGGGTTGCCACAAATCTTCAATTTGAGAAAATATCCACAAAGCACAATAAAGCAAAGATCAGTTAAACAAGCTTTGCTTGTATAGTCATGCTGTGGAGCTTGGACCTCTTAGAGCATTGTCAAGAACCAATTAGTTTTTTAAGCTGAGTTGTGAAATTACGAGATTTACATTTGATAACGTTCCTTTCTGCCTATTTACTGTGAAGAAATTGTGGAGTGTGTAGGTAGGGTAGGGTAAAAAATAACTTTCTGTCTATATAGATGACTCCTCTAACAAAAGACAGATTAATAAGAGAAAAAAAAAACAGGTATGCTTCATGTGATATAAGATACCCAGGAAATGAGTAGTTCTCAGAGAGGTGACTTAAAAAAAAAAAAAAAAAATCTGGCATAGATTGGCATCTACAACAAAGAAACGGAAAATTTTAGAGAAGTGACAAGACAAAGGATCCAATGCTGGGAATGCAGTATATATAGTAGACAAAGGCTAGTTGGTCGAGATTGTTATGTAATTTACTTTGGTGTGTTCTCCAGTGTGATAAGGGCTTAAAGATATCTGTAGATCAGTGTCCTTCTTGGTAGAGAGGGTAAGAAGGACACCTATGCCTTTTGTAAAATTTATTTCATTTCTAAGCAAATGAGGGAGGGCAAAGAACTTTTCTTTTATCTGCTTCTCATTTACATTCACCTCAAAATAATCCTTAAACCCATTTATCATTGCCTCTCTCCTTTTCCCCACTGTTTCGTTCTCTATTTATATGCTTGACCTCTGTTACATGTGTTGTCAACCACTACTGGGTAGAATATTAGTGTATCTTTGTTTTGTTTGGCTGGACATGCACTTAGAATATTTACATTCTGTCCTGGAACCCCAGTTACCTGTACTCTTAACAGATTTTTTATTCTAAAAGCTGAAAAATAAATAATATTCACATTGTTATGGCTCTGTAAACTTTGGGCACTGCAGAGATAAATTATAACACCTAAGCCCCTCAAAGGAGACAGATCTTATAGCAAGTATGTAAACTCATCTTTTCCTTAATACTTCATCAATTGTATAAAGTCATATTACATCTTACTTTGGTTGGTTCATAGTTGGATCATAATTTTTTCTACCTCAAGTACATAAAGATATTCTTTAATGCTTTTATTTCTTCAGAAAAAAATGTTAATTTTGTTTTTCAAATGTAAGTCCTTAAGCCATCTGGAATTAATTTCTGCCTCTGGTACTGTGTCCCAGTATCATTTATTGAATAATCTGTTCTTCCTGGGGGACCTACAATATCATCTTCATATATCAGATTTCCAAATATGAATGAGTCTGCTTGGGAGCTTTGTAGACTATTTGGCTAATTAAATTGAATAGTTGTCTACTAATAATGCTATAACCTCTTAACACAAGTTTCATAATGTGATATCTGGTGCAGCAATATTTATCTTCCCTACTCTGCTTCGTAAGTATTATATTTTTCCAAGTTCCTTGAAAATCTCTGTTGTGGTTTTGATTAATAATGAATAATTAATAACATTAATATAGTGTTACTTGTAACACTGTTCTGAGCAATTTGTTTACATTAACTTACATTAACTCACATAGTCCTGACAGCCTTTAAGTAGATAGTACTGTTATCTTTATGCTTCATATGAGGAAATCAAATACCAGGTTAATTAATTTCCCTAGTTCGACACAACAAATGGCAGTGAGAATTTGAATTCATATAGCCTGGCTTCAGAGCTCTTGCTTTTACTAGACCATATTAGAATTACATTGGTGCTATAGATCATTCTGTGTAGAATTCAAACCTTTGCAGAAGTGCATATATCCCTCAGCAAAAACTCATTTATACAGATCTTCCTTAATGTGTTTTGATAAGCTACTATAATCATATCTGTACACTAGCATATTTTGGGTTAGATAGTCTGTAGGTACGTTTGCTTGAATTAGTAACAGAATTGGTTGGTTTTTATATTTATCTTGTAGGCATTTACCTTGCTTAAATCTCTCCAATCTATTCAGACAGTAATATCACCTATAGATCGTGACAGTTTTCTTTTCAGTTACTTATTTCCTTATCCTCACCCTCCTATTTTTTTCTTTTTTTCATTTATTTTTAATTATTGTTATGTTTACTAGTAGTAGTTGTTGTAGTAGTAGTAGTAGTATTTGACTTTTGTTGTTGTTGTTGTTCTTATTCTGAATAGGACCTTCCATATAATGTTGAAGTACTAGGAATAAATGATCCTTTTTCTCTTTAAATGCTTCTGGATTTTTACTATCATGTTTTTAATGGAATCATCAGATTAAGAAAATTTCCATCCTGTCCTACTTTTCCAAGGGCTTTAAGCTGTAAATGGATTTTGAATTGAATCAAGTGCTTTTTGAGATGATTATAATTATTTTTCTTTTCTGATCTGTTATTTTGAGAAATTAGATTTCTATGTTATTCTAATATTAAATTACTGTTGGTTGCTATGATTAACCTAACTTGGTTGTGATTGATTATCTTCTTTTAAATAAGCAGTAATTGCTAATATTTAGAATTGGGGCACCTAAATTTGCATAAAACTGACCTATGGTTTTTCTTTATCTGTATCAAGGTACACAAGCCACATGGGAAAAGTTTGGAAATAATCTCTTCTTCCCTCTATTTGGATAATATTGGAATACTCTATACCTTATAAATTATCGGAACTCACCTGTAAAAGCTATTTGGCTTTGTGGGAAGATTTTAAATTACTGATTCAATGTCTTTTATGGTTACGAGATTATTCAAGATTTCTTTTTCTTCTTGAGTCATTTTTGTTTGCTAAAGTTTTGTTTTTGTTTTTTGTAGGAACCCATTTCAGCCATATTTTACACAGTGCATTGTTATAAAGTATATAATGTTCTCTTTATTGTTTAACTCTGCAATATCTAGTTGGTAGTCTCTTTTGGTTCTGATATTGTTTATATGTTCTTTTTAATCTTTTTAAATGATTGTCATGTTTTTCCTAGTCTTCAAAAACCACCTTTCAGCTATTTACTTTTATATGGTGAATTTTTATTTGCTTGATTTCAATTCTCTATCTCCCTTCTATTGGATCATTTTATTCTTAAGTTTGTAGGTTGGAAGCTTAGCTCATTAATTTTCAGTCTTTTCTAATAGTGTTTTAAGACTAGATTTCCTTCTAGAACAGTTTGTATTCCTAAACTTTCTATAGATCATATTTTTTGCCGTAGGTTTAGTTTATAGCAATTTAAATTTAGGAATGTTTTGGACCCATGAGTTATCAGAAATATGTTTTTAATTTGTAATGTATGGATGTTTACCCATAACTTTTAGATTTGACTTTTAACATAAATTGCATGGTAGTCCAGAGAATATGGCATTTATTATTATTTTAAAAGTTTCTGGGTGCTTGAGAATAAGTACTTTTTGTTAAGGTTAATATCCTATGTCATGTTCATTAATTCAAACTTAATATAATCTTTAAACGTTTTCGTCTGCTAACCTGATATGTCGATAATTGAAAAATTATCTCCCATGGATTTTGCTATTTCTACTTGTGCTTCCATCAGCATTCATTCTAAAATTTAAGGTGTTTTTGTTAGAACAAATTTAAACTTTCAGGGATCTTCTTGTTGGTAAATTGCATTTTTTATCTTCATGTAATCATTTTTTTCTTAGGTAATGATTTTTGTGTGAATCTGCTTTATCAACACAACTAATCATCTGGGAGATTCAAAGGGTTTTTTTAAAAGTATAAATCAACAGTTTTTATCTTTGAACTGATGAATTCAATCCCTTTCTATTGTGATTTTAAGTCTTTTGAATTGACTGCGTTTTTTGGTTAATTATTTAATTTCATTTTTTCCTATATTGTTTGAAATAATAAATTTTTTCTTATTTCTTTAGTGGATCCTCTGGAAATTTATTATGCATAGTTAAATCATAGCTGAATCCCCTTCTTCATCATAGAGACCTTAGGAAGCTCTTCTGACATTCTATTGTGATTCATTGTTATAAAAAATGAATTATTTTATTTTATTCTTAAAAAAACTCTACTATTGGTTAGCATATTTTATTTGTATATATGATTACCATTTATTTGTTCAGTTATTTCCTCCTTTGATATTTTTCAATAATTTTTAAAATTTGTTTTAATTAGTTATACATGACATTAGAATGCATTTATTCACTTTGATATATTATACATAGATGGGATATAATTTCTTATTTTTCTGAGTTTACATGTTGTACCCTCCTTTGATCTTACAGCTCTCTAGAGTAACTTCTTTTACTCATTGTCTTGGATCTTTGTAATTTACCTTTTTTTTCAAAGTTTGTCTAATAGTATATCTTGTTTTCTTGAAGTCTATCGATACTGTTTGCTTTTTTTGTTTTATACATACCATTGTTTTATTGTTATTTATTTATTTTTTTAGTTGTAATTGGACATAATACCGTTACTTGTTTATTTTTATGTGGTGCTGAGGATCGAACCCAGGGCCTCACACCCAGGGCCTCACATGTACTAGGCGAGCACTCTACTGCTGAGCCACAACCCAGCCCCATCATTGTTTTATTCTTAAAATATAATTTTGTTGAGTATACCTTTGTAGAATAATAATTATTTTCCCTCAACACTTTGAAGATGCTCCAGTGTATTCTGATTTCTACTTTTTATATTGGGAAGTTTGTGGTCTAATTCTGATTCCTATTTACCTTGCCAAATGAATGGACTTTAAGATTTATTAGGTCTTTTGAGATTTGTTGCTAGATCTTTATTTAATATCAGGGGTATTTGCCATTTGATATTTCTCTTTTCTATTTTCTATTATAATCTACTGACACGTTTTTTGGGGGAGAAGTTTTTTTGTTTGTTTGTTTTTCGGTCTTTGTTATTCAAGTACCATAACCTTTGTTTTTAATTACAGTGGTTTTCTTTTCTTTTCCTTAGTTGCCTTTCCCCATCTTACTGGTTCTGCTCCTTCATGGCCTAGTCTTGTGGACACCACCAAGCAATGGGACTATTATGCAAGAAGAGAAAAAGACCGAGATAGAGAAAGAGACAGAGACAGAGAGCGAGATCGTGATAGGGACAGAGAACGAGAACGCACCAGAGAGAGAGAGAGGGAGCGTGATCACAGTCCTACTCCAAGTGTTTTCAACAGGTTTGTTGGGTGTGCATGAGTTTGTAGATGCATATTTCATTTAATCTTTCAAATTAATATTTGGGGTAAGGAAGTGAATTCCAATTAACTTGGAAAAGGGATGCTTGAAAAGTAGTTAATAAACCATTTAAAATCGGATCTGTTCCATGCTTAGAGGCTTCCCATTACTTAGAACAAGTCTTCAAATTTATTTGGTCACTTATCCCTTAAAAGAATTTCATACCTCCTTGCAAATTTGGATCTTAACCATTTAAAATTTTAGTTTAAATAGTTGACAGTATATTACAAATACACCTTCCAGTACATTGTAACTTCCAGTGTATTATAAATATTAATATTTAAAAATAAAAGTGTCACTCTTTTAAATGTGTCCCATGGATTAAAAATATTGTGGTTTGCCAAACACTATCATCCATTTTTAAAAAATGAGTAGATTCTCTTTAACAGTTGGAAATTTACCTTGTTTTTTTATGCTTGAATTTTCACTTTTGTGTCACTTTTCTTAAAGAATGTTTAGTCTTGAAAATTTTTAAATTAATTATCCTATCTTTTCTGCAATACATGTGTGTAAATTAAAATATTTAAAGCAGCTTTTTTCATGACCTAGGTATCTGAAATGGTTTTTCAAAAATTTATCCTGATTTTAATTATTTTCCTTATTATAAATAAATATACTAAAAATAATGTAATGGAAATATATCCCATAAATATGATGGAAGAACTTTTCCTCATCCCCAGTTAATATATGTATTCATGAATGAATATTATTATTGTTAATGACTAAATGGTCTGTCATTAGCTTTTTCTTTTTTAATATGTAGAGGTAAGCACTAAGAAGCCTTGTTTACATATATTAGGGCAGTCTAATTCAGTGTGATCTCATCTTAACTTGATTATTTATGCAAATATCCTGTTTTTCTAACTAAGGTCACATTCACAGGTACCAGAATTAGGACTTGACTCCTATTTTTCTAGGGCTTTCAGTTCAGTGCCATACATATGGTCAGTAATAAAGTCTTTCACTTTCTCAGTTTCTTGTAAGAAGTGGCAAGACTTATTAAAAGACTACCAATTATACTTGTTAGTCTTTCATTTAAAGACAGTGTAACTTGTTTAACTTAGAAATGGTTGAGAAGACCAAAATACTACTAATTTTAGTACATATTTGCTAAAATATTGTTAAAAAGGAAAACAGTGTAATATGTGTTAAAGATTTATTTTCATGAAGACCTTGTTACTGCAAATTTTCCTCATTCCACTTATGGAAAAGAACTACAATGCAACTTAATTGGAAAAAGATATTTCTCACTGTCCAGCCAGACAACCAGTTCACAGAACAAAGTCTGGCTTCATTTTTCTGTTCAGATAAATGACTTAATGTATATTGAGTTAATCTGTGTTCACTGTCTAAGATGAATGCCGTTGTCACAGAGCCCAAAATAAAATGCTGAGTACCAGCACTTAGTTTTGCTTTGCTTCTGCTTTGTTTTGTTTTCCTGGGACTATCCTCCATACGGATTTTTTTTTTTTTTAATTTCTTCACTACTGAATTTAGAACAGCTCAGGAGGACATAAAATACTCTATTTTGTACTATTTGTCATTGATAGGAAGAGCCAAAGCGCTATGGAAGTTTTATGATTCCTTAAATAAAATAGTTCTCACTGAAGTTGATACTTTAAATTAAAAAGAGTTAATTTATAGTGTACTTGGTGGTTTCTGTAAACTGAACCACTATATGATGGTAAAATTGGTGAAAGAAACGTCTTTCTTTTCTAAAAGGATAAGATAGTGATAGAGAAGAGGTTGCTAGAGAAGTGGTTAGTATCTATAGGCAATTGAGAAAGTACGTTTACCTCTAGAGTATACATATTCAAAAGTAAGGAACTTAGTGCAAAAATTTAATATGAAAGAAGATTGAAATCTATTGCTTTGGTATAACTCATATTTCTTTGCATAAATATGCTGTATTTTGAAGATTTGAGGCTAAATTATTTGATTTCAAATATGCACATGCACAGATGTTACTGAATTTTTTTTGAAACTTAAAAAGTATTAATAATAATGCCAGGCGCAGTGTCACACACCTGTAATCCCTTAGCAGGCTAAGACAGGAAAATCTCGAGTTCAAAGCCAGCCTCAACAAAAGCAAGGTGCTAAGCAACTCAGTGAGACCCTATCTCAAAATAAAATATAAAATAGGGCTGTTGATGTGGCTCAGTGCCCTTGAGTTCAATCCCCAGAACCCCCCGCAAAAAAAAAAGTGTGGGTGTGTATGTATAGGTATACACATACAGTTAATAATAGTTAAAATTAGGTAGGGAATTAGGAGTCATTGTTTACCTAAATTTAACTAAAAGCTTAAGGCCAGACAGGCAAAAGGCAAAGGAATTTTATACATTCTAAATCATTCTAGGAAAAAAATTGCCCTCTAGAAAAGCCACATGAAATATATTAAATAAAAGCCATTTGTTTCTGAAGACTGATAGAAATATCTAAAAAGCAGTGTGGTATGTAGTATGTGTTGCATTATAAATTACAGGGTCATTGTTTTGAAAATTATAGGCCAGTTTTGACATCTGTTTTTTAGACAGCTTAATTGTGGGCCAGAAAGAAGATTGGTCATTCTAGAGTGTTTCAAATGGCTCTAATTATTTCCAGACCCAGAGAAATGTTTATGTTGAAGCCACTTACCAGAAAAAGGGATGAAAGTAGGAGGTCTTCATATTTTACCTATAGGACCAATTCCCCTATGTCTATTTTAAGGTTCCTTTCATAGAGCTGTGTCTTCATAATCTAAAGGCTGTAAAGCTAACTAACAAGAGTTAGTTTTAGGGTAAGAGGGAGAAGAGAGGGATACAAATGACAAATTATGAGATAATTGGCCTTAATTATTTTTATGTAAATCTAGTTGGGAGTCATTACAAAGACAACTTCATTTTTTGAGAGGGTTTAATTCTTATATACATGCGCTGTGGTGCTAGTTTTTCTACTTCAGAGATAAGCAATTATTACAGGGCCAGTAACCTTTATAAAAAATATTCTGCTTCTGAAAAATTAACTCCCATTTATTGAGTGACTACTCTTATACCAAGCACTTTATTATCAAATGTGCAAAAATCCTGAAAATGATTGTTGCCAATTTTACAGGTGAGGAAACCAAGGTTTAGAGAGTTTAAGTTATAGCCTAGGTCCCTCGTTTAGTAATTGCTAGTCAGGATGTGATCTGGGTATACTCTGCCATATTCTTTACCCTGCCTGTCATGGCTTGTTGCCTTCTAGTTGACATGTTTCCCGCCTTCAAAGTATAAAGCATGCTTAGGAAAAAATAGATACATATATGTATATACATATGCATATGTATGTAATGTGCATTTTCTATTATTATTAAACACTTTGAAATATTAATATGTCACAGATAATTTGGTAGCAGTATGATTTGGCATTAAACCATACATAGCATTATTGGAGCATTACTTTTGCTGGGAGAACACAGATGGCTTGTTCTTTTATATGGCTTATACTTTGACCTGATTTCATTATATCCTACCGAGATTCTTGAACATTGCATTGCTTCATGAAGATTAGTAGTTTGTATTAAACATATTTCTACAAACCAAACCTCTTGGATACAGTGTTCTAAAGATAAATTTATTAGATTAGTGGACTAGAGGAAGGAGATTGAAGGGAGGTAGGAGGGATGGGATAAGAGAAGAATGGTGGAATGAATCTTACTTAACTTTCCTATGTACGTAAGAATATACCACAGTGAATCTCACCATTCTGTATATATCCACAAGATACTAATTTTAAAAACAATGTAAGTAAGTAGCAGAAAGGGGAGTAGAGTAGAGGGAAGGAGAAAGAAGGGGAAAGGGGGAGTACTGGAGAATGAATTAGAATAAATTATATTCCGTGCTTTTATAATTATGTTAAAATCAATCCCAATGTTTTGTATAGCGAAAAAGAACCCATAAAAGTTTTAAAAAGATAAATTTTTAATGTGAGAGAATTTACTGATGTTATGTTGTAGAAAGTTATGATTTCTATGTCAACCTCCCCACCCTACTCCCTAAAAAAAGAAGACTTGAAGGATAAGAGAAAGATCGAGTGAGGAGTGTCAGTTAAAAGACATGAAAGGAGTGACAGATCTGGGAAGGAAAAGAAAAACTACTCTTTAACTCTGGCCATCAGTTCCAGTTTCCAGTTTATGTAATTCTATTTAAAATGAAGAGCTGTAGCTTACACTTATGAATTCAGCATTATTAGCCATGTGCATACCCCTACCCCTAAGAGTTATAGTTTGAAATAATTGGGAACGCCAGAATGCAGGTATGTCCTGTCTTCATGTATTCTCTATGGGTGTTATAGAAGTTGGTTTGATGTCTCTGATCTTCATATTTGTACCTCTCTGCTAGTTGAATGTATTTTCTATAATTGATAAGCCAAATATTTAAGATCTGCTTTCTACCTTGTAGCCATTGTGAACCATATATTTTTAGAATCCTTACTGTGTGTCCAAGACTTTACAGATAATGTAGGAATTTTGATTGGAAATCTGATATATACAAATATGCTTTTAATCTAAATGGAGCAAAAGAAACTTGCTAATTAAAATTTAAAGGAGTTAATAGTTCCCATTTTTAAAAATAAATACAAAAGTATTACATGAAATCTATGTTATAACATTTATGACAGCACAGAATAGACATAATGTGTAATTATATTTTGTATTCTTACATTAGATCTAGTACTAATTTGTGATTCTCAGTTCAATAAATACTTATTCCCCACCTACCCTGTGAGATGCCAATATGCAGGTTTCTGTTGGACTTCAGAGTCTCTTCCTTTGCAATATGCAGTCATGAAGAATAAATAGTCCAGTGTCAAGAAAACTTGTTTCCATTTCTGTTGCAGTGATGAAGAGCGATACAGATACAGGGAATATGCAGAAAGAGGCTACGAGCGTCACAGAGCAAGTCGAGAGAAAGAAGAACGACACAGAGAAAGACGACACAGAGAGAAAGAGGAAACCAGACACAAGTCATCTCGCAGGTAGGGAATTACTTTGAAGCCAAGATACAAACTGATTTGACTTCAAAAAGTAAAAGCAGACATTTCCAAATATCCAGTAGAGTACATGTTCATAACTGGAAGACTGAGGATATTCTGTTGAAATAGTTGTTTCCTCATGAGCTTCAACAAAGATTTTTAAATCTTACTAAAACTACATTTAGTAACCAAAATCCATAATTTACATGGAATAAAAATAATCATGAGAGATTTGGGTTTATTACATTATCTCATTCCAAGGGGGGGAATTTTGGTTTATGAAACAATTCTTAATGGTAAGTATTATTAATCAAAGTAATGTTTGTTTTAGAGAAAAAAGTTAGGGCTTATAGTTGAAAAAAATCATTAAATTTTAATACCTATTGTTTGCTGAAAATCAGCCTGATAGCATTGTACTTCCTGTTTGGATAAAGTGCTTCCGTTGCCAATTTCTATTTAGTCTTTCAGAATAAAGTAAATGGGAATCTGGGATATTACTGGTGAAGATGACCCTATAATGTAATCTTCATGAAAGTCTCATCAAAACTGATTTCTTTGCAAAATGTGTTTAAGAGGGAAAGAAGGGGTTAAATTATCTTAAACCTAGTTCTGAATTATGAATTCACTTTAAATGGGTTGATTTTTGTCACTACTTTTAAACACAACACTCTTATTTTTCTTTAGTAATAGTAGACGTCGCCATGAAAGTGAAGAAGGAGACAGTCACAGGAGACATAAGCACAAAAAGTCTAAAAGAAGCAAAGAAGGAAAAGAAGCTGGCAGTGAGCCTGCCCCCGAACAGGAGAGCACTGAAGCTGCACCTGCGGAGTAGGCACACTTTTCGCCTTTTGTGTATATGAGTACCAGAAATAGAAACTATAAATCTTGTTATTTTTCTGGATAATGTTTAAGAAATTTACCTTTAATCTTGTTCTGTTAGTATGGAAAGTTTAACTTTTTTCCCAAAATAAACGTGAATTTTTCATGTTAAGTTAAAAATCTTTGTCTTGTAATATTTAAAAAAAAATAAAAGACAGCTATGACTTTATATTCAAGAAAGTAATGTGAATGAGTCACTTAGCAGGGAATTTAAAGAGCTTTCTTTAGCTTATGCACATACACAGTAAGTAACTGATGGAGGTCAAGGATCCACCTTGGCCACAGGCTTCTTGTAAATGCATCACCAGTCCCATAAGAAGTCGCACTGCAAAGGCATTAAAAGGCCCCCCTGAGTCTTTAACATTACTGCTATGGCAGTCATGCTTAAGCATACTAAAGAACTTGTACACATTTTTTTATATTATAATTTTTTATAACAAGTTTTCAGCATTATAAATTTGTGTCCATGGTAAAACTGAACAGGATACTTTTATATCCAAATTAATGAAATCTAGAAAGCATTTTGGTGACCTGTAAAGTAACTTTTTTCTGTGTAGTTTTTAACAGGCACATGTATAGATACTCGTCACTGTGACACAACGTTGAATTGCCTCATGGCCAGCTCTGAGCCAGGGTCAAGCCGGTTTCACCTTTCTTGAGGTGTTTTCTAAGGCTTATTGGTAGAGTAGCATGTGGATTTTTTATACCATTACTAACTATATTGTGAATAAAAATAAACTTCATGATAGGAGATTTAGATTAGTCATTTCTTGTTAAAACTAAGAAAACAAAAATGAAACTGAGAATTTTAGGGATAACTTTAGAAGGCATTTATAAGTTGTGGTAACAACTTGGTGTTTCAAAGATAGAATTACTGGGATTTTTTAAATGGATGATAATAGAAGTAAACAATAGAATCACATACAAAGACAACTATGATTTTTGAAAAATATTTTATTTCTCAGTTGATGAAATAAAATGTTTCTGAGCAATGCATTTTTTTTTTTTAAAAATCCTCTGGCTTTTGAATTAAAAATCACCATATGCACTCTTTCTAAAACTAAGTATATACCAGATTTTTTATTTAAATCACTGATTTGAATTCAGTGGGGCATATAAACCATTTCATTTGGACTTTTCAATCAAATGTAAAAATATAAACAAAGTTGTAATGATAAATCTTTCACACTGAATTAAAAACTATTAATAGTGGTTTTTATTTTGAGAATATTCTCTGAGGTGTAACTGGCTTTCATTAGGTCATTTTTTTTTTTTTTTACATTTTTACAATGAATTCTTTAAATATAAAACTTGATAAATACATTGCTTCAACTTAGCCTATTTGTGATTTTTGTTTTTCTGAGGCCCATCATTGATTTTATAAAAAAGTGCCAGGCCAAGAAACAATAGTGAGGGTAATTCTTCCTTTAAGTTCTTTCAGCATCCTTGCCAAGCAAGCATGTATCATGCCTGATGTACTTCTACCATTGACAGCAAGAAGAATATCACCACATCTAAAACAAAACAAGATAGATCATTAATATTTTAGTCCATTGCTAAAGTTAAGTTTTTATTGGTCTTAGTTTTTGCTATATCTGATCATTTTAATTGCATATTACTTCTAGTTGAGGATCCCCCCACCCCCTCAAATTCTCCAAACTCACTATTCATTCAGCTTGTGTTAGAAGGGATGCTAAAAGTACAGGAAGTTGCAGTACTGGGACCAAGAGGGCGTGTAATTTTGAATTTCTTAGAAATTAAATGCTATACAATGTTTAATTTCTTATACCCTCCCCCACAATAAGTACAGTACCTACATACTTTGTTTCAAATGGGTCCTTACTTTTGCATGTAGAAAACAAAATATATAAATATAAGTTTTTTGTTAAGTAGTTGTCATTACCTAATTCTTCCATCATTGTATGCTGGTGTTCCTTCAACAATGGATTTGATAAAAAAAGGTTTGTTTCCATTGTATTCTTCATAACCTCCTACAATGCAGAAGCCCAGGCTTCCAGCTGTGTTTCTTCGTAATACAACATCTTTACAGTTATATAAGTACCTGAAATAGAATGTAATCAGTGTATCTGCACAGTTAAAAGTTTTAACTGTTAATATCATTGTGATTTCATCTCCCATTCCTTTTATTGGCTTTTTTTTTTAGGCCAAGTAGCACTGGAGAGGTCCCATTCAAATTCTCTGATAGCCCAGTCACCTTCATACCTTAAGCCAGCTCTTTGTAATTGATTCTCTGTTTTCCATAGCTGAAGACCCTTAAAAAAATCACGTATTATGTTCAGTTTTTATGTCTTCTGGGAAAGATAATCATAATTCTGACAAGTTTGAATATGCATTAGCTGAGTATGCCTGAATCCTTATTGATAAACCAAAGTGAAACATTCCTGTGAATATCTTAATTTTATGTACTTGTGTATATAAATTTTTAATGAAGGCAAAGATCCTTTGAGTGAATGATTATTATCAATGAGAAAAATTTAAACTTACACTAATTAATGAAGTTCTGCAATTTTCTTGATCTTTGAAAAATATTAGTTGATACTAATTTAAGCTCAGAAGCATGCAGGCATGAAAAGAATAGAAATTGAGGCACATTTAAAGATTATAGGAATAAATCATATTGGAGGAAAAACAACCTGGCATAAACTGAATTAGAAGTTATAAAAGGAATGGGGGAAGGAAAGACCACATCTTTTCTGTAAATGACTAGAATCCTCAAAACAGAAAATGAAATTAAAGAGGATCTTTTGCTATTCAGTGCTCATCAGATCAGTGTTCACATATGTTCAGGCCAGGTGCAAACTGTGTTCCAGTTACCATAGAGACAGGTGTGTCAGGAGCTAGAGTTTACTCTGAAATCTCCCTTGTCCACCTTGTGTAGCTGTAGTTCCAGAACTGGTCTGACAAAAAATTAGCATTTTCATTTTGATAAGAATCAAGGTATGACTGTTTTGTTTATAAACTGTACCTTAAAATATTCATTAACTGTTTTTTGACACCAATAAAAAGTCTCTTGTAAAATATTTAATGAAGTTGGTCATTACATGTGCTACTGACCTTGCTTGTCAATGTAACCTAACACTTCATGATGTTGCTGACTTTCAAAGGCTTTGGGATTGGTTTGATGGATACTTTTAAAATGTGCTAAAATTCAACACCATACCCAGTTTTGATTTATATCCATTGTCCTACAACATTTACAGTAATTGATTTTGTTCACCAAGATGACAGCAGTGAGAAAGATGCCTTTTTTGTTGTAAAATATTTGCTCTGTTTCATAGTAAACCTTGTTACCAGTAGCCAATTCATCCTATAAGAGCTGTGGTCTTTGGGTACACATTTAAAAGAAAATTTTTTTTCTTAGTTGTCAGTGAACTGTTATTATATGGTGCTGAGAATTGAACCCAGTGCCTCACACATATTAGGCAAGTGCTGTACTACTGAACCACAACCCCAGCCACTTTGGATACACATTACATAATGGTCAGTGCTCAGTACAAAGCCCGTAATCGCCTGTTCCCCAAATCCCTAGCATTATACACCAACCTGGGTGGTTGTGTGCAATTTGGGGGAGAAAGGAAGCTCAGAAGCGTGCAGGCATGAAGTGAATGGAAATTGAGGCACACTTAGATTTTAAGGATAATTCATATAGAAGGAAAAACAAATACTTAGATCTGATTCCAAATAAGCTTGGGTGATTTCTCTTCCAAAGTCATGAACTATTATCTGTTTTAACATTTCCTAGTTGTGATTCTTTAATACACACACACACACACACACACACACACACACACACACAAACAGAGCACTACTTGAAACTGCAGTGTTTCTCATTCTTTTGTCTGCTGCTTATGGTTGGTTGTTTTTTTTTTTTTTCTTTAAGTATCTCCTGGGAAATTATTTGACCCTTAAGGAATATTTTATTCCATACAAACAAACAACCATCTAAAACTTACATGTTCTGGTATAAACATTTTCAACCTTTTTTAAGTCACAAGTGTGTTTATTTTTCTGGACTCCTTCGAAAGCAGGTGTCTTCTTGGGACATTTTTCAGATGTTTGACATTTGGATATTGCCGTTCTCTAGATACTGGGAGTATATTGGTGAATAACACAGAGACTCCTGCAGCATTCATTCATCTAGGTATCAGTGTTAATAAGTTTTGTTTTGTTTACAGGGTTTTCATTTGTCTTGTCTAGTACTTACCTTTGTTGTAGCAGCAAGAGCTCAGTATATTAAGTCCTTTCTAGTCAGGCCCTGGTTAGTTGATACTTAAGGGCATTGTTAGGTTGCATTATTTTACTTCCCAGTGGAGAAACTGGTAGCTGGGGTTTTTTTGTTGTTTGTTTAATTTTTCTTTTTCTTTTTTGTAGTTGAACAGCATGCCTTTATTTTATTTTTATGCAGTGCTGAGGATCAAACCAGTACCTCACATGTGCTAGGCAACTATTCTATACTGAGCCACAACCCCAGCCCCTGGCATCTGTTTTTGATCAGTGGCCTTTGGGATTAAGCAACTTTACCATCTGAATATAAATATGAGCTTTTTTCCTATTCTGAATTCAGTCTCTAAATTTAGGGTTAAGACATGACATAGTATAAGGAATAACAAGGACTTCAGTCATTTTTTTCCCAGTGAGAAAATATGATTACCTCAAATATAAATTCAGCTCTATTGAATAAGTTGAGTATGGGGAAGTCTCAAGTGGCTCAGGAAGCTAAGGTTTTTCTAAATTTTCACTGTATTGTCCTTTATGACAATTTATTCAATAAGCCACTTGAGAATACGAGCCTGGGTAATTCATGGTGTTAGAATAGCAGAGGTTGGAAAGACAGTGAGTGAATGAAGGATATTTGGAGCTTGCCCTGAGTGCAAGAAATTCAATCTATAACCAGTATTTGCCTTTTGTTTTAACAAAACAGTTGCCTTTTAACTTTGCTACCCCTGTTCGTTCAGAAAGGTTTTAACTTTTTAGCTTGAATTTCATGTAACCATTACTAGTAACTCAATGAATTTGAGTGTGCAGTACACAGCCTCCTATTATTGATTAACTTTGTTTATCCCAGCTTCTGAAACAGTTATGTCTCAGCCAGTGGTAAAGGATCACCTTTTATTTTTTTATTTTTATTTCCAGCTCACATTTTTATTATATTTCAATGTAAAAGTATTTCAGTGAATCTAAAACAGAATGAATTACAGAAACAATAGTTCACTTAAAGTGTTTAACGGAGATTTACCCATGATTTCTCAAGTTTTCAAATCTGAATGAAATTGACACAGGTACACTAAAATAGGTTGGAAATAACCCAGAATTTATATGTTAATATTATTACTATATTGTCATGCTATATTTTTATTCTTTTTAGGCATACATGACAGTCAAGTGTATTTTGACTACATACGTGGAGTATAACTTATTCTAATTAGAATCCCATTCTGTTATATGCTATATTTACGTTTTTATGGGCGTTCCACATATGGGACAGTGGGACAGAAAGGATTAATATAGATGATCATTGTTACAACTTTTTATTAACTCAATTACTTTCCAAAAGTTATGAAAGGAATAGTATACATATTGAATGCCTTTGTGCACCCCTGGAACAAATGTATATAGCATTTTAAGTATGAGATTACCTTATTACTAGGTTGTCTTGTGCTACTTGCAGTGGATAAAGGATATTCAAACTGTATTTTTACTACTGTACTAGAAAAACCAGCCACAGATGTGTTCATGAGAACAAGAAAAATAATCTAAAGCAATTTTAGTAAGCTTGGATTTTAAAGTTGAATTAAAAAGATAAAGCAGATGATAATTTATTTAACTTAAAGGTTTATCCATTGACAGGGCTGAGGCTGGGGCTCAGCGGTAGAGCGCTCGCCTAGCACATGTGAGGTGCTGGATGTGATCCTCAGCACTACATAAAAAGTAAGTGAATAAATAAAATAAAGGTATCATGTCCAACTACAACCAAAAAAAAATTAAAAATTTATCCAGTGATAGTTGTTATAACAATAAAAAGTTAGTTTCATCTCTCAGATGGTGTGAATTCTAGATTCATGAATTTCCTCTTTATCAGTTTTCTGAAAAATCTATAATTATCAAATCTCTAAGATGTTTGACGATAACGTTTTGCAGATGTGCAATATCAAAACTTACCTCACCATCTCATTGATAATTGCTGTTAAATTACATCATGACAATTTATGGAAACTATTCTTCTAAGTTTCTGTCATTTGCCCTTTGATCTTACTGGCCATTGAAAAACATCTTGAATTTCTTCCTTGCAGGAAATATTAAACTCAGTAAAAATACCAAAGATAATCTGGCAAATAATAAAGTTTGGCTATCCAGTTTACATCTTTAAAAGGTGGAACTAGACTGACTTTCTAGCTTACAGAAAAAAAATAAAGGCTCAATCTCTGGTCCAAATATTTTTGAAAGAACTTTTCTTTCAGAATGTGATAACTGTTCTTTATGATTAGTTTCCTTATTTCATAATAAAGAGAGTAAGTTAGAATCTAATGCATTATTAGCCTTTACAGAGCTCTGGGTTGTTACCATATCCCTGAACACATTGTTCAGGTCAGCTGACATCTTTTCTCATAGCAGATTTTCTCAAAGGAAGCATTGTATCAAGTACATTTTTTCAGGTGCAGGTTCTTTAATCTGGGTAAAGACTTCAGAAAGTTTGCCAATCAAAGCATTTGCACCAGCAAAACAGTCCTACCTAAAATGTAAACATCTAGTTCACTGACAAAAGTAAACTTTTGATGGCGGTATATGGTTCAGTTAGTTATGTTTATTGCCAAAGAATTTTAAAAAGAATTCTCACATCACAATCATGTTTAAAGTTTACACCTACTAAAAGATTTGCCAGCATAGTAATGCCTGTGCACCAATGAAAATGAAAAATATGTTGGAAAAATAAAATAAATAATAAAATCATAAATAATAAAATGAAATAATAAAATAAGTAAAATGAAAAATATGTTGCTGGCTTTATTCTTCTATAAGTTGGTTTTCTATAATAGTTTTTAGCCCCCAGAAAATAGTACTTTTTTTCTTTTTTACCACAGATTTCACCCAATGTTTCCAAGCATATGGCTAGTCTTCACAAGTTCCTTGACAATATATTATACTTATTTAAGCTTAGTAACTCAAAATGCTACTTCTTGACTTTTTAATCTAATACCTTTTTCTTTCAAAATTTATTTTGGTTTTGAACTTATTTTGTGTATAAGTGGCATTTATTTATTTCATTGCTTCATCAGCCAATACCTCTGTAAGTAAAGTGGTTTTACCATATTTCTAACAACCTCAGGTACAAAATTAAAGTTCCATAAATAAGTAAAAGTAATATGCAATTTGCCTTTATTTTTTAAAAAAATCACTTAGATCATTTGAAATTACTTTTACCATTTGTTTTCAGAAAAGTTATGCCTTGTCTTAACAAAAGTCCAGTGAAACATGATTTAGAATAACTAGGAAATTTACTTCCTTAATTTGGCTCATAATATTAAAACACATTTAAAACACGTTTGATTTTTAAAAATTCAATGATTGCAAAATTAAAATCTTATCATCTCACAGGTTTTTTTCAAAGATTTTGTTAACTGAAAAATTAAAGGTACCATTGGTGGTAGGGTGGGGTCTTACTTTGCCTAACTAGTGTGCTTGCACAAGTTAACTCACCAAGCAAGTTCAAGATGAGTTTGCTGGTCATATGCCAGAATAATTAGCCATGTCAAATTGCTATAAAAATTTCCAAATGACCTCAATTTCTGCTCTTACCAATAATGTAGTTTGTGTATCAAGCACTGGTCTCACGCACTGCTCTAGATAATTTTTTGAAGCTGTAAAATACTTAAGAAATATTATGCATTTCTTTGAGATTTCTTTAAAATTTTCTTTAGATAATTTTTTGAAGCTGTAAAATACTTAAGAAATATTACACATTTCTTTAAAATTTCTTTAAAAAGTTAGTTATTTCTTAAGGAAAAATGTTAGACTAAGATTC